AGAGGTAGGTAGACCTCTGTGAGTTTGAGGCCAGCCTGGTCTCCAGAGCGAGTGCCAGGATAGGTTCCAAAGCTACACAGAGAAACCGTGTCTCGAAAAACAAAAAACAAAAAACAAAACAATAAAAAAAAATGGGTTAATAATTGAGAGCTAGCCAGTAAGAAGCCTAAATCATCAGCCAAATAGTTTATAGATGTTTAAGTGTCTATGTTTTCATCATCTCTCTGCTGCTGCAAGTAGCAAGGGGGAGGGCAGCCTTCCCTCACCATTGTCACTGCATGGCAGACAGGGGTCAGTGCTCCTGCTCTCATATCCTCAGGGCTGGCTTATCTGTATGGCCTCTCCCCCACAAGAGGGTCAGCTCTAGAATGCTGCCCAGAGCAGAAGCAGTCAGAGCCCACTCTTGTGCGATGCAGCCAGTGAGGATCAGGGCCAGCTCATGAACACTTTCAAGTAAAAATGAACAGACTAAAGGGAAAACTGTAACTCAATGGGCCATACAACAAGATGATTCTTTTTCTTCTTCTTTTTTCTTCTTTTTCCTTCTTCCTTTTTCTTCTTTTTGTTTTGCTTCTTTGTTTTGTTGGTTTTGGGGTTTTTCTTTTAAATTTGGTTTTGATGGAGGGGAGGTTGCAAGGGCAGAGGGCAGACATGAAAAGAGGGCAATAAGTGGGATCAAAACGCCTGATGTGAAATCCACAAGGAATCAATAAACTTCTTTAAATAACCCAAAATTAGTTTTTTCCAGAAACATTACAGTGAGGAAACATTATCAAGGATGAGGAAAAATTAAAACTAACAAAGACTTTATTATTATACAATAAAGCCTATATAATAGTAATACTACAAACAGAGCAAGCTATTTTTCTAGTTTATTTTTAAATAATAAACCCATACACATATTCTTTTTAAACAATAAAATACACACAATTACAATGCTGGGTTTTTTTTCATTTATTTTATGTGTATGGTTGTTTTGTCCACATGTATATTTTATACCAATAGCATGCTCTGAGTACCCTGAAAAAGGTATTAGAGCCCCTGGGACAGGAGTTATGGATGGTGTGAGCCTCCATGAGGGTGCTGAGAATCGAACCCAAGTGCTCCTTAAACCCCTAAGCCTTCTCTCTAGCCCACAATGTATTATTGCTTTGTCTTGCCAAAAAGTATTGTTTGGTTCACTTCTCTGAGCAACATGTACAAAATCAAAATTACTACATACCTATAAATTTTAAAAGGAATACAAAACTTTATACTCATAATTCTATTACTATTTTAGAATATACTTAATAATATATTATAACGTCATTTTATAGATCAAATATTGACAATATACTTGACAAGCAAACTTTTTGTGAAGAACCCCGTGGTAAATATTATATGTAAGGTCTGTCACACGTTCTTAGATCTTGGTTTTGCTCAAAAATTCTAAACATGCAAAAAGACATTCTTATCTTGAAGGCTAAAATAGGTCAAAGGCTAAAATAGGTCAGAGGATAGACCTGGCCTATGAACAGTCATCTTACAAACTAATACTAACACAGCAACCTCAAATCCTAGATCACCAACAAGCTCACTGTCAAAATTCATTACCTTGCAAGATCACTGCTAGCTGCTCTGCAGCTGACTTCCTCAAAACAAGGTCAACATCATCTGAGGTGAAGATTTCATACACCTTTTCAACAGTCTCCAGCTGAAAATCAGAAATATATATTTGCATCTGCTTCCAGTTCCCTAATAAAATTTTACAGCTCATGCCATAAAACAAAAGCTTACAGACAACTCACTAAAATAAACATGTACATGTAAATTAGCAACAATGGTGTGTTGGGTAATAAGGAAACAGGATCAGAAAGAAACAGCCTGATGTTCAAATAAGCTTCCCTTTTTAATGAACATTATAGCTAAAGGTCATAAGCAACCCATTAATCCATTAGCCCCATTAGAATATCCTAGAAAGCTTCCAGGTTTCCTAGCCTGTTTTTGTTACACCAGACTAACCTGAGACAAGCAACTCAGACCTGTGACTCTTGTTTCACTCTAGATGCTCTGGAGCTGCAAACCCAATGGTCCTCCCTCTTCTTTAACCATCTCTGCCTCTGGAGATAAGTGCAATGTCCTTAACAGTCAAGAGACTGGTATCTGCTTACTTCAAAGCAGCAATATAAAAAGAGAACTAAAGCAACATTACTTTTTTTCCTCACACCCTCTGCTAATTTCTACCTAGGGTTGCCTAATCTCAGCTGTCAACTTGACACACCTAACAAGAGTAAAACTTCATTGGAGGAATGGCCTCCACCAGATTAGCCTATGGGAAAGCCTATGAAGCATTTCCTTAATTTCTCACTGATGCTTTAGGGCCCAGACCATTGTGAGCAGTGCAATCCCCAGGAAGGGGGGCCTGGGTTGAATAAGAAAGGTAGCTAACTTGACCTTGGGAACAAAGCAGCAAGCAATGTTTCTCCATGCCTTCTCCGTTACCTTCCTGACTTGGCCCCTTGATTGTGGACTAACCTGTAGGACAAAATAAGCACTTTCCTCTCTAGAGAGGTTTTTTGTCAACGTTTTCTCATAGCAACAAAAAGCAAACCAGAACACATCCCTACTGTAGACTCACAAGACAATCCCTGAAGTTCCTCTCCTCCCTTTCTACAAACTCTACAAAAGCCTAACAATGACTAATAGAATTTTGGTACTCACTGATTCCCTAGCTGGATCTTCTAAGTACCCTATGAAGATCCTCAAATCCTCTAGCCAAGACCACACCACACAGCACAAAGCATTAAGCTCAGAACAAAACTAAGAATGCATTAGCCCACTAAAAACAAAACAAATCGAAAAATACTGTATCAGAATCTGGGTATGGTAACCTACATCTATAACCCCAGCATTTGGGAAACTGGGCCAATATGATCACAAGACCACCTTGAACTACACAACAAGACCCTGCAAAAACAAAGAAACAAAAAAGCCAACACTGTACTAACTACTCTGTGTAGACCTTTATTACTAATACCCATGCTGGAGGCCTTATCTAAGTGTAAATAAAAACTGAAAAGAAAATGGGAAGCTATAAAGCACAGGAACGAATCAAGGGTGAGGACAGATGGCAAAATTCTCTCAGTTCAGTGATGTAGGTACAGCCCTGGCTAAACAGGTGCTGTCTTAGTTTGCTTCTCTATTGCTATAACAAAACACTAACCAAAACCAACTTGGGGAGGAAAGGGTTTATTTCATCTTACAAATTCCAGGTTCCAGTCCATCACGGAGGAGAATTCAGGGCAGAGACCACGGAGTAACCCTGCTCATAGCTTACTCTTTGTGGCTTTCGCAGCTTGTACTTTCATACAACTCAGAGCAAGCTGCTCTGGGATGGCACCACTCACAGTGGGCTGTGCCCTCCCACATATATCACTTGGCAAGAAAATGCCCACAGATTTACCTACATGTCAGATTCACGGAGGCATTTTCTTAAATTCAGCTTCCCTCTTCCAAGATTATCCTAACCTGTTTCAAGTTCATATATATATTTAAAAAAAAAAAAAAAAAAAAAAAACACCCCGCTAACCTTCTGTAGTCATCTAAAGGAGGCAAAGATTCAGTAAAGAGTTAAAAAAAAATCCTAGAGTCACTGTAAAATCCTGGAGAATAAAATACGAAGGTTGAGATATTTTTTACAAGAACTTTTTCTGTTTTCCTGGTTGACAGTTCCCAATGTTTTTATGTCAGTGGTATTTTTTTGATCATCATCAGGGCAGGTGAGATGGGTAATGGCACTTGCTGCCAAGCCTGATGACCTATGTTCCATCTCCAACAACATATATGGTGGAAGGAAAACAACGACTTCTATGACATACACTTGGGCACATATATATACACACAAAAAGTAAATCTAATAAAAATATATTTTAAGAAATTAACTGGCAAAATAAGAAACAGGAACTGGAGAAATAACTCAGAGGTTAAGAGCATATGCTGCTCTTCCAAAGGATCTGAGTTTGATTCCCAGCATCCACCTCAAGTGATTACAACCATGTAACTCTGGCTCCAGGGAATCCAATGCCCTCTCCTGGCTTCAACTGGGCACTGTATTCACATGCACATAGATTTTAAAAATTAGAAAAATAAGTAAAAGGCCATCACAAAACTTCTCACTCTATCCAACTGTAGTGCATTTCAGACACTCCACAAATAACTTCCATTTCCAGCACATATACTCAGTTAAAGAGGGTACATAGTCCCTGGAAGACAACAGGCACTTTCGAAAATTAGTTAAATGCTAGAGGCTATTTATGTTTTCACTTCCATAAACAAGTTTGTTTGACCCATCTGCACCAGCACCAGACATGCTTGATCATATGTGGGCGGGCAGGAAGTATGTAGGATATACACTCACCCCTGATTTTATATAGGCAGGGATGCACAGGCAGAAAATGTGTCAGGTTATATATATGCTTGCCCCTGATTGGATCTGATGGAAAATTGTGTTGATATGTTATGATTTATTGAAGCTTGCCTCAGGATTCAGAAAGCAAAGTCAGCCACAAGCCATAGAAGCCAGGCACACACCTTTAATGTCAGGACTCAGGATTAAGAGGCAGACAGATCTCTGTTCGTTCCAGGCCACACTGAGCTACACGAAACTGATCCAGTCCTAAAGAGAAACAGCTCACACAAAGATGATCGACGCACGTGGGATCACACGACTTTAATCCCAAGACTCATGAGAGGTATTTAAGGCAGAAACAGGGTCTCAGAGTTGGCATTCATTCTCCAGCCACAATGAGGATAGAGCAGCATTCTGAGATAGTCTATGGATTTTCTCCAGCCATGCTGAGAAGAGACAGCAGTCTGAGGCTTAGTGAAGAGCTAGTGGATCAGCACTTTTAGCCTGAGCTAGAGGTAAGAGCTAGTGGCTGGCTGCTTTGCTTTCTGATCTTCAGCTTGAAGCTTGAGCCACATTATCTGTCTCTGGGTCTGTTATTTTTCGTGTTACAGAAAATATGGTGGCCTTGTGGGGTTTCCTTTTTAAGCTTCTGCAAGGCATGACGTGTGGCCATTTTCTGGGAACCCAGAGATGTACCTGGCCAGAGAGTCCATCAACCTGGCCAATATTTAATTAAGGCTTGCTTCAAATTTTAAACCGTGGTAGTGGTCTTATTCTCAACTGGTAGGATTAACACATTTATGTAGTATCTGCCCAGAAAACAAATGCATCCAGAAGCCAGATCAATAGAATACAAGAAACTGGCCCCAAATTACCCATCTCCCTCCCTATGTACACACAGACTTAAAATGATCACATAAAATACATGCTATATAAATGTGTCAAATTGCCACACAATAATAAACTCAAAAGTTATAGTTACCTTAATAACTAGGTCTCTTCTGTCATCCAATTTAAGGTCAATTGGTTTTTTCACAATAAATAGATTAGTAACTTGGGAGAGAACTCTGGCATCTATGAATGGGCGCTTTCTATCAGCCCCTTCTTCACTGATAAGATGAAACGCTAAAAGTTTTAATGCTAATGAACGGACCCTGAAAACACAAGGTATTTAAATTAGTATTTTGTGCTATGTAAATATCTATAAACAGGCTTACAAATATACAGAATTATCAATATAAAGTACAACTACCCACATATATACTACCATCCTAATATTGTCCTGTTTCTACAAAAATCTTTCATATAGTCAATTTTGTTATATAAAATAACATCAGAAACTGAGAATAATTAATAACAATTGAGTAGACTTACAGAGACACAGTCAACCTCAGTTAAACTCTATGTTAGGATCTGTAGCCCCAACTGCTCAAGGATGTAACAGAAGGATCATTTAAACACAGGAGTTTGAGACTAGCCTAGGTAACATGGTTATGAAGCCCAGTCTAAAAACAAAATTGTAACATGCAGTGATTTGAAGGAGAATAACTCTCAAAGGCACATATATTTGAATGCAGGGTATGCATTTGGTGGAAATGTTTGGGAAGTATGGCCTTGTTGGAGATGCGTCACTTAGGGGTGGGCTTGGAGGTTTCAAAAGCCCAAAACATTCCCAGTTAGCTTGCATTCTTGTGCATTCTCTCTCTCTCTCTCTCTCTCTCTCTCTCTCTCTCTCTCTCTGTGTGTGTGTGTGTGTGTGTGTGTGTGTTCTCTCTGATAATGTGTAAGCTCTCAGCTCCTTCTCCAGTATCCTGCCTGGCTGGCACCATGCTCCCTTCTAAAATGGTTCTGAACTCTAACCCTATGGAACCTTGAGGCACAAAATAAATGCTTTCTTTTATAGGTTCCTTTTGTCATGGAGATAGAAAAGTAACTAAGACAAAAGCTGGTACCATGAATAGGTGTTACTGTGACAGGCCTGACAATATTGTTTTTTGGAGAAATGTGAAACACCTTAGGACTTTGGACTAGGAAAGTGGTTGCATGCTATAGGCAGTGCTTAGCAGTCTACAGTAATAATACTGAGAACCATGCAGAATATAGAGGCTCAGTCCTCTACAAAACACAAGGCACAAATGTGGTGCAAGAAATATGTGCAAGCAAAACATCCACACATATAAAATAAAAAAGTAATATAAATAAATAAAATTAAAAAGACTGCTCCTCCTGGCCTTCTGAATACTCTTTATCACTGCTTGACTTTAAACTTTTCCCTATTCTCAATGAGGGAAAAATGTCCCCACTGTTAACTACAGAAGGGAACAAACAAGATACATCCCTCCTTCTGTTATCTTAGTTAAGATGATACACCAATGATGGTGAAGGAAAGAACTCCTTTTAGCTTCCCAAGCAACAGTACAAACTGAAGGAGATTAAAACACTCCAGGAAAGCAGCCAATCAGTCACACACTGACTGGCTCTTTGGGGTAATAACATGGAACCACCTTCCTTTGGTTCTTTAGTCCTACTGTTTCATATTCCTATACTTACTATACTTTGCTAGAACGCATTCATAGTTTTTTACTCAGAAGGTTACACTGTACTCACGAAGGCTTTTTCACTAGCAAAAGTCGAAGCACAGACTTCAGCCGTGTAGTATAAGGAAGGCCTTCTACCTCAGAGCTCACTTTGCTTAATAGGAGAATGCAGTTGCCTAAAGGATCTTCTGGATCAGCATAGCCCTAAGAATTGTTTTTAAGAGAAATTATCATTCAGTTTTATACAAATTGTTTTCAACTTGAAAATAACAGTATTTACACAGGCATGTCATGGAATCCATCAGTTCCCCTCAAGTCAGTTGAATAACAGTCTCTTTTCAAATTAACCTATGTGAAATAAGGAAATGAAATAAAACTAGTTTAAAAGTAAAACAATTTTTAAGCTACAGTTTAAGGAAAATATGCTGATATTTGTTTTTCTAGATCCTTGCAGTAGCGCCTCCATACTTAAGACACTTGACAGATCTTTATCCCTCTCCAAACAGATTGAAGCAGGAGTGCTAGAGGACCTTCATGTGGAAAACTGGACCAGTAGCTTTGGGGACTAAAACCTGTAAGCATAGCCATTGTCCATAGGACGTTGTAGTCTGTTTCCAGTGAATTACAGCCATTTCTTCTACATCCTTTTTTACATCTACTAACACAATGCAACACAGGTAATATAAAAGTGGGAAAAGAGCATTTCTGAAGTGTATTCTTTAATGTCCTAGAAAGCTTTAACTGTTAATTTGATGCAGCCTAGCATCATGTGAGAGGAAACTTGAATCAAAGAATTACATAAATCAAACTAGCCTGTGGGCTCAATATTTGACCAAGCTAGCAAAATGATGTATTGCTTTTGGTTTAACGATGCTTTGATGTAAAAGTTGGGAAAAAAACTTTTTTTTTTTCAGGAGGTTAACTTTGGAGGGTGGGAAAAACATGTTTGTTAGTATGGAAAAACATGATTGTTTTGAAGCCATTCAGATGGCTTGAGTTATCGGGGCTAGCCACTTGTGTGAAACTCATCAGGTGGTCTGATACTACTTCATTTCTTTGTGCTGACACCTCTGCAGGAGGACCACAGCAAATAAGTTTGTGGGTCCTAGCTCTACCTTTCCTCATTCCTTCGGCGCCCGGAAGGACTGCTTAAGAAAGCTTTGTGCCTAGGAGCTCACTAATCAAAATATCACTCTAATTAAATTCATGCACAAATAGAATGCATAAGGCAAGCTAATTATGCAATGTCTGCTTAACAAGGACTGCTGGCTCTGCTTCAAATCCTTTACAAAGGGCTGAGCTCTGTCTTGCACAGTCAATACTTTTTGACCTCCCACCCAGACATGTGAAGTCTACACAGGCAAATTTGCTATCCTTGCTTAAGCTTTTGCCAGAATCTGGACAGCCACCCACTTCCTGCTCACGTCTCCCCAGTGCCTTCAAGGCGCCACTTCATTTTTCTCACAATGTGACAGTTCTGCTGTTTGCATTCTTTTAAATCACTGACAACCAGCCAAAGACAAAGAGTATCGTAAAAAATGAATTGCAAAGAGTACCTGTAGCACTGGAATGACAGGACAGAGTGACTCAATAAACTTGTTCCAGGTCAGTGCTGTCATCATCAATCGTCCCTGAAGCAGATACAACAGAATGGCCTTGGCAGCAGCATTCACCTGCACAACAACAGACACAGCCATGCTAGGAGATGTCCCACTGAGTCCTCTCACAGACCTGCAATGTCTTATCAAATCTGAAAGGTACAAAATTAACTTCTCTTGCTTCAAATGTTCCTCTCTCCACACATCGTTTATACTCTGGTACTAATGAGGGGGTTTTTTTCCCCCTTAAGTTTCTGCTATTTTATCCTTATCAATAAATCTGAAATAACAACTATTCTGTAGTTCCTCATATCTACGAGGAAATCTTAAGTAAAATGTTCATCTGATTCTATAAGATCAAGTGTATTCTGTATTTTGATTTACCCACTTTCTTTAACATTTCTTTTTATGTAAATAATGTCAGAACTTAACTAATGTATCAAGCACACATTTCCTTGTAGCTTCTCATGAAGGTGTCCAATGTATTGAAGCATTTCTTTGACTTGATAGGGTAAGCTTTTGTACATAATTTTAACATATCATACCTCATTTCTGGGTTCTTGGAAACCAAATGCAGAGATTTCATATAGAACTTTTGGATGAAGCAGAAAATGAATTCCACTACAAAGTGAAGATACAGGTTTAGTGACATTATGGACACCTAAACATTCCTGTAAAATAATACAAATTTTTTTTAAATTAGTGGCAATAATTTTTCTAAAAGAATTCTCTTTCTTTTTTATAATTTAATTCCAATTTTAGTTTTCACATAATTAAAAAAGTTGTTTAGCTAACAAAATTTTCTACCTAGTTGTTCAAGTTTATGTGGGCTACATAATGTTCTGCCAATGAGAAAAATCTTCATAAATAACCAAACAGCCATAACCCCTAAAAATCAACAGATATAAAAGACATGACAAACCCTTAAAACCTTAACCTGAGGTGCTAGATTTGTGACTTGATTTACTTCGGCTTGAGACAGAAAAACAAAATTCAAATAAAAAAAAAAGTAAAAATATTGGGGAAGAAATATATACAGAAAAAGAAAACATCAAATCCGTTCTCAATTATAATAGAAAGTGTTTTGTTAGAACTATGTGAGAGAGAACAGAAGTGATTAGAAATATTAACAAATCAGTGTAAATATAATACAGTGGAAACACATGCAAGAATGAGTCACAAACTTAAACTCAATTCCTTTCATATTGGAAATTACTCTGTCCTTATAACTAATAACAGTTAAAGGTCAAATATATACATGTGATCTCAGATACTTATATACATATACATTATATTTATTTTTAACTATTAACTTAAAAACACAAAAAATACTCTAAACTCTTGGGAGCTAAGACTTCAGCCTTAATTAATGTTTAAAAATAGCTGTCATTTCCTTAGGATACACATGATTCTCTAAGTTTCAGCTTATTCATTCACAAGTTAATAATTCCCTCTGCATGCCTCCTGTGCCTGTCTCCTACATGATGCTACCATAGTTTTTAAAAATCATCTCAGATGGGCACAGTACCATCTGAGCACCATGGATTAGAGATCCAGCACCCAGGATTAAAAACTTTGGTTCAGTAAAAGGGAGAGTCAACTTAAATATTCAGCATTAAGTAAAAGGAAGCAAACCCCAACTTATAACAGTAAACATGGGTTAATTAAGTAGATCTCCAATCCTCCAGATAAATTAAACACTTGACAAAAAACGTAGAGTATGAAACTATACTTTAGGCTTACAAAACAAACAGTAATATACTATTTATAAGGACATGCATATGCAGTAAACATATATTCTAAAAACATGGATGGAACGATATACACCAACACCAAGAATAGCTTGGTGCAGAAGGTGGTGCAGAAGGGCAGAGAAATATGTCTGTGTAACTATAGATCACAAGTTAGATTTAATATGCTGTTCAATGAGACTAGGAAGGAAAAAGAAATTTAACAGTGCAACCTTCCCAGAGCTGACGAATGACTAACATTTACTTATGGAATACAATTCTTGCTAACACAAGAGCTTAGGAATTCTAGAAGCGTAGTATGAGAATCCATTCTTAGTTCTCATATTAACTAATTAGTTCTAAAAACAAGCAAAAGAAAAGCCCCACCTTCACAATCTCCAGACAGCACTGGTAAGTCTCCACCTTCACCTGTGGACAGGGGTGTGACAGCATATGGAGAAACACTTTCTGACTCTCCCCCTGTAGTAATGGACTGGCCTGTGCAGATTTCCAACTGGAAAAAAAGAAAAACATCCAAAATACCTGAGGCCAGCAAGTTACTAAGCAAAGGATTGCAGAGCATGTTGGAAAAGATCCCCTCCTACTCCAGTTCCTTTGAGTGGGAACGCCCCTTCATGAACTAGATTGGCATCAATTTACCAGGCAAAAAAAAAACCACCCTCTCTTAGGAATATAGAAAGAAACAAAAAGAAGACATCCTTAAAAACTCACACTTGCAGCCAGGCAGAGTAACACAAGCCTTCAAGTCCAGCACTCAGGACAGAGGTAGACAGATCACTAAGTTCCAGGCAATCCTGGTCAATATAGAGAGCTACAGGCTAGACAAGGCTATACAGGCTTCTTAAACAAAAAGAATCTGTATTCTTCTTGTACAAAAATAGAAAACAAAGCAAACAACTTGTGGACTTGAGCCAGTGAAACGGTTTTGAGGTAGAGGTGCTTGTCACACAAACCTGATGACCTGAGTTCAATCCCCAGATCCTACAGTGGAAGAAGAGAATCAATTCTCCAAAGCTGTCCTCCTACCACACCTATGTCATGGCATGTGCTCCCATATTGTCCATACACATTAATAAAGAAAATTAAATTAAATGAAAACCCAAAGTTAACTGATATTTGTCATATTGTGGAACTTATTATAGGAATCTGTTCCAATATCCTCAAAATAAATTAACGAATGCATAATGCTTTCCAAAAGCATTATGGAAATCAGTAATTTTCTAAAAGTTACATAAAGGAATCTTAAACTTGGGGAATCACTTGTGACTTGACTTTATTTTTTGAGATGGAGTGCCTGCTGATGTTGCACTCCAAGGGATCTCCTGCCTCTGTGACCTGAGCCCTGGGCCTGTAAGTGTGAGTCACCACCTCCGACAACCTAAACTAACAACTGTCTGAGTAGCTGCTGGGGATGGCTACAAATGTTTACAAATCTAAGAACTGTTCATTTTCATTACAGGCATGACACTGTTAAAATTAACTCTTGAATAAAGCAGTTACCTAGTTAATGCAGCTATGCAATTCAATAGTGAGACCCATAAAACAATTTAAACTAAAATAAGAAACATGAAGGGACATTTTCATTTATATTATTCCTAAGTTTACATAACCATGTTCATGCATATTATTCCTAAATTGTCATATCCATGTTAATGTCCACACACGTACATGGATATACACACACACACACACACACACACACACACACACACACACACACACACACAGAGAGAGAGAGAGAGAGAGAGAGAGAGAGAGAGAGAGAGAGAGAGAGAGAGAGCATCTTGATTTGTCACATGTAGAAAAGGAAATATTACATCTTTGAACAAGTGCAGATGATGTCCTTTATTATGGGGGAATGCTGATGGTAAGAAAAGCTATACAAGGCTTGGTCTGCCAGCTCCACCAATTCTAGGAGATTCTTTTCTCCCTGTAATAAAAGAGAAAAGAGACAGGAAACATGAAATTCATACACAATAAAATTCTTACAGTTAACTAAGTCCCCTCAAGAAACTAAACTGTTCAGAGACCTTGTTCACGTTTGTTTAAGTCCACCTTCCGAAAAATCAATCTACAAATGTCAACCTAGAAGCCAAACTGTAGGGGACATGGTAGTGAAATACCACCTGAGACCATTCATTATTTGGGTTTCCTTTAATCATTTGTGACTTCTGTGACTAAAATACTAGTGTATTTTATCACCTACCATCCCTCTCTACCAGCCTCACAAGTTCTGGAAACAGAAGGCATCTACAGATGCACAGCTGTCTGCAGAATGTCAAATATCCACTTAAAGAAGTGATTTAAACTGTAAAGAAAGAAACAGGAAACCCAGAGGCATAAAGAAGTGCAAAAACTGAGCGAGGTCAGGTAGCTGGGGCTTAGGTCAAGGGTAAGGGCTACCAGGACTAGAAAATGAACAAGGCCAATCTGGTCAGTTTACAAAAACAAACAGAAAAGTAAATATAAAGGGCTGAGGCTTAATTTAGCTTTAGCAGCAAAGTGCTTACCTATCAAGTGTAAGGCCGGAGATTCCATCCCCAGTACAAGGGATGGTGATAAGAGAAGGAATATGGCAAAAATAAGGAAAAATTTCATAATGGATAAATAAAGAAAAATGGAACACATGAGGTTCAAAGACAGTTCAAAAGGAATAAATAAGAATTGTGTGAAGGACCCATTTTGGTATCCTCAGATGCCACTCAAGGCAATGTCATCTCTAAGATCCACTCGTCTTTCAATATATTATGCTATACTTCAATGATATTTTTAAATGAGATAAATGGTAATAAACACTGCTTTGATATTATATCTCAAGACACCCACTATCTTACAAATAATAACTAAAGACTGCAATTAACAGCAACAAAAATATCAGGTTCTGCATGAAAGCATGTAATAACTGGCATAAAAAATTAAAACCAAATTTTATCTACAAGTTTGTAAGTATGAATTAACACAGCTATCATAATTCTGATTAAATCAGTCATCACTCAGTTCCCACATAATAACTGAAACTGCTAATTCTATGAAAACACACTATTCAATACAATAAAGTCTCTGTATTGCTTTTGTGAAAATCATGTCCTTATTTTAATCAGACTCTAGATCCATTCAATAAAAATGTATCACACACCTAGTATACTTGTTATATGTCTATCAGTTGGAACAGTGTAGGTTAGATTTTCTAAACATTTCACCAAAAAGATTTAAGATAATTGCAAAATAATTTACCTCTTTCCCCACATCAGATAGGAAGTTACAGGTACATTCAATTGAATAAACAGCCTCTGCAGTTCGTTTATAAATGCTGTAGTTTTCAGAATCCAGCTGTTCCAAATAAGCCACAACAGCGTCATGGATCTCTGGATATTCCAAAGAAATGGGCATGTCCAAAGAGACAAGGAATAATGCTGCAGACACGGACTCCGGCAAAAACTTGCTCGCCTTGATTAAAAAAAAAAAAAAAATGTTTTCTAAAGTGCTTTGTTAGGAGCATACTATGAAATATATTGCCTACCAAAATTCTATGCTTTTTCCAGAGAAAATTGTTTTTCCCAACATATCAACATATTATCTACTTCTATGTTTTAGTCAATGCAATTTCTCTGCCCAAAATGTCTGAAGTCCAAATAGGGATTCTTTGTTCCAAGCCAGGAAATTGAATACCTTCCTCCTCCTGAACCAACACCCAGAATTATTCTTCCTTTGGGGGCTGCTCCTTGTTTATACCTCTGCTATGAAGCAAAGCATGAAGCCAACACTCCTGAGGTCAGAAACATTTTCTCTTACATAAACAAGCATGCAATGAAACCATATGAAACAGTACAACACTAATTCAAGTCCATCTTGGTTTATTTGGGCAAAAAATGATTTGTGTTCTTTTTGAGAGGAAAATCAACATAATGTTTCAAATAGTTTCAGAAAACTACAGAAGACAGCCCTATTGTATTGCTTTATATAAAGATATATTTATAACCAAAATCAATGGATTTAAAACTAAAACTGACTTTTAATGATTCTAGTTTTGTGGTAAGATTCTAATTAGTAACTAAAGAAGTGAAATGTAGTTCAGTCAGAGTTAAAGAAAAATCATTCAACAGGCTCAGGAGTATGTCTTTATTATTGGATTTTGCCATTATTTATTTCATGGATGTCCTATTTTAATAACAATCATCATCAACTGCCTAAAGTCTAATATTAGGAAATGGATCAATCTGTTGTGGGATACTGGATCGTACTGTGACAATCTGAGACTGTTAATAAAATTACCCTTGAATCAGGGGATGGAGTCAATGACTAGCTGACAGGAATTAGCCATAGAGATTTTGGAAGACCCAAGAAACAGTACAATAGAGAGGCACAGGAAAGAGTAGAGGGGCTTAGAAAGATTCGCAGGGAAGCACCAAAAGGGAGGGACAAGCTGGTCGTGCCTCCACTGCTATCTTAATCTATCAGGTTTTTACCCCAATAACTGACCCCAAGATTTTAGTAATAATGGAACAATTTAGATAAATGTGTCATCAATTAAGCAACAATGTGTTATGGGAAATCATTTTAAGGTGTGTTACAGTTGTTTATGCTGTGGAGCATTTGTTTAATGATAAAGATGTGTTGCATTCTTTTATGTTGTATTTTTTAACTCCGTGTTACTTTGCCTGTCTAAAACACCTGAGCTGAATGGTCAATAGCAAGGCAGGAGAGAGAAATAGGCAGGGCTGGCAGGCAGAGAGAATAAATAGGAAGGGAAATCTGGGAAGAGAGAGAGGAGCAAGAGAAGAGGAAGGAGCAAGAGAAAAAGGAGAGGAGGTCACCAGGGGCCAGCCATGTAGCCACCCAGCCGGCCAACAACAGAATAAGAGCAAAAGTAAGATATACAGGAATAGAGAAAGGCAAAAGCCCAGAGGCAAAAGGTAGATGTAACTACTTAAGAAAAGCTGACTAGAAATAAGCCAAACTGGGGCTGGAGAGATGGCTCAGAGGTTAAGAACACTGGCTGTTCTTCCAGAGGTCTTGAGTTCAATTCCCAGCAACCACATGATGGCTCACAACCATCCATAATGAGATCTGGTGCCCTCTTCTGGCCTGCAGGGATACATGCATACATAATACTGTATACATAATAGATAAATACTTAAAAAGAAAGAAAGAAAGAAAGAAAGAAAGAAAGAAAGAAAGAAAGAAAGAAAGAAAGAAAAGAAAAGAAATAAGCCAAACTAAGGCAGGGCATTCATAAGATTCTGTGTGTGAGTTATTTGGGAGCTCGGTGGCGGGCCCCCAACAGACCAAAAGAGTAAACAGAACAGAGAGTAAAAACAACCAACTACAACAATGGCCTGAAAAGACTTGGCAAATAGAAAATGAAGATCAAAAGATGGAATCAAAAGTTAGGTTAAAATCACTGAAAAGCTTGGAAGCCAAGAAAGCAGCTATTAGAAAGTCAAGAGAACATCCACTGTTTTGCAACTCTGCTACTGAAAAAGAGAAAACCACATAAGTGCTCACTAACAGTTAACTCAAAGTATACTAACTGACACTCCCCTCTCCTCCTGTGTATGGTGGGTATTAGTATTTAGGCATTTTACTGGCCTGTCTTCAGAGTTCTGACAAGACATGCCTTCAGCTGCTGCCACGAAGAGCACCACTATCTGTGCCTATTCACTATGTTCCCTTTTAAAAGGGCCCTGCCTACTTTCCATCTCTCTCTCTCCCTCTCCCCCTCTTCCTTCCCCTGTCTGTCCCCCTCTCTCTCTGAGCTGCTACTGTCACTGGAGGCCAGTCCCCCCTCCTCCCTTTTCCCTTTTTATGATCCTTTTCACTGACGAAAAAACCCCTATGCTTGAACACTGTTACATGGCATCTTTCTCTATTGAGCCACTTTTTTTTTTTTTTTTTAATTATAACAGTGGGCACTGTACCAGATCCTGGGAATACAACAGAAACAAAAAACCTTGTAAACTGACATTCCACTGAAGAAGGCAGAGTGTAAACAATGCCTTCATAAGATGTCAGATGTAGCTATGAATACTAATAAAGAAAAAATTCTAAACCAGGATGGGAAGGATAGAAAGAGAAAAGTGATGTGGCATGGATAAGGGAAGTGCTATTACTATGAAGTGGTATAAACTTTCTGTAAAATGACGTCAGAGTGTCCTAGTGTGCTTTCTGTTGTTGTGATAAACATCATGACCAAATCCAGTTTAGAGAGGAAAGGGCTGATTTGGTTTACCAGTTACAACACATCACCAAAGAAAACCCAGGCAGGAACTGAAACAGAGACCACAGAGAAATACAGCTTACTGACTTGCTTTCCAGGGCTTGCTTAGTTTCCTTTCTATGCACCCCCAGGACCACCTGCCCAAAGATGGCAGGATCCACTTCAGACCAGGCTCTCCCACAACCATCAGCAATCAAGAAAATGCCTGAGGGCAGACTTCCCAGAAGCCAATCTGATGGAGGCAATTCTTCAACTAAGGCTCCCTCTTCCCAAGTGTTCCTGCACAATAAAGGATCCAGGCCAGTCAGGAAATACAGACATCTGGGGGAGAGCAGTCACAGAAAAGGGAACAGTAAGTACACAAGCTCCAAGTAGGCTGTTATGGATAGTCCTGAGGGATGGAGACGGGGAAAGATGAACCAGGTCAATTAAGGCTTTGATTTTCCTTAAGGATTTGCTCATAGATGGAAGCCCTTGACAGGATGCAAGCAAGTATTGAGTTTAGTCTGCAAATACAGGGTAAAAAACAAAGGTAAAAATAGAGAAACCAATGAAGAGTTTACTGCAATACAGATCAAACAGGACACTGGGTTCAACTCAGGGTATTTCACACTGGAAAAATACTACTTAAGGACTAGAACTTTTGCCAAAGAAATTAACATATGAAAATGATGGTAATATTTATTGAAATAACAAAGTCTATAAGGAGAAAACACTTATGAAGCAAAGAATTAGGTCTGAGGTGAGGAGTTAACACTATCCAAGTGAAGGTATCAAAATGGAGCACTAGGATCTCTAAGATAGAGATGATATGAGCTGTATGATATGATATGTGTAGGTCTTGCCTGGAAACTAATTAACAAGTAAATCACACCTAAAGATCATATAAAGAAAGATATTTCATAAGGTTAGTCTTCTAGATTGGAAAGAATGAAAAAGATAAAGAGGAACAAGAAGAATTGATGACTTGGGCACACTTACTGAAATAATATAACCTTAAGAGTCCACCTCCATAGTAACTACATTTTAGTTTAAAAGAACAATGACCAACTCTAGTGAGAAAAATAACAGTTGGGTATGAATTAAGCATTAAGCAAAGAACTGAGTACATAGTTGTGGTAATCTGAATGAAAGTGTCCCTGATAGGCTCATAGGGAATGGTACTATGAGGAGGTGTGGCCTTGGAGGAAGTGTGTCACTGGCATCAAGCCCAGTGTCATTCTCTCTTACTGCTGCCTGCTGATCCAGATTTAGAACCTTCAGCTCCTTCTCCAGCACCACATCTACCTGCAAGCTGCCATGCTTCCTGCCATGACGACAGTGGACTAAACCTTTGAACTGTAAGGCAGCACCAATTAAATGATTTTCTTTATAAGAGTTGTGATGGTCATGATGCCTCTTCACAGCAACAGAAACTCTTAAGATAATAGTACTTGATAAATATTCATTTCCTTCCTCCCCCCCCCTTTTCTCCTCAAGGAGGAATTCTAACATTTTCACTCTACATATTTGTATCTGGAACTCTTATTACACCAACAACTCAAAACTCTGTGCTAAGAATTCTAAATTTATTTCTTGCATGGTGTGGCATTATCTAAGAGTTGGTTAGAAAAGGAGACCTCCAGGTTAGGTATTCAGCTCAGTGGTAAAGTTCTTGCCTCAAAAGCACAAAGCCCTATGTCCCAAGCAATAGTGGGTGGGAGCTAGAAATTCAGCCCATCAGGCCCTGCCCTGATGAATCAGACCTGGGGAGATAGTAGTTAACATAATCTCAAAGAGATCTCTTTGTGCATTGTTCTTCAAAGTGTACTGCTCTGAGTCATTGAGCCAGCAGCATCAATCATGGGACCTTACATACATCACTGAACCACTTAGAGGACTTAATGTATGAAGTCCTTCCTGCTCTTACTACTGCTTACAAGCTTACCCGAATACAAATATATTCCTAGAATGTACTTGGATTCTGCAGAACTAGTATTTCCAGGCCCCGCCTACACACACACACACACACACACACACACACACACACACACACGGTTACCTAAAGTAACCTTCATTTTATTTCCCAATTTACTTCACACAACTAAAGTATTTTTCGAAAGATAGCCAACATTTTAACAAAATACGAATACTCTTCAAAGTTATTCACAATCAAAACATATCAAATTCAAAGGAAAACATCTGTGTGACATGACAAGTTTCAGGGCTCAAATCTCCTTCCAGTTGTTGGTGGCTCCTTACAGGCAGAGGGCAGCAAAACTTCACATTTATACACAATGGAGACATAAGGAGCAATGGAAGAGGATTTCTGTTTAGATGCCATTTTAAAGTACTTGGTTTATTAAAGAAAAGATAACCAAGTAACCTATAAATACAGTGTCTAAAATTGACCTAGTGAAGTTTTAAGTTAAAAACACAAATATACTACGAAAAGTTACAGATACTGATTCATTTTCGGAAAACCAATGAAAAATGTCTATGCTCAACAAAACAAAAACAAAAGGACACTGGACATATTATATACACTCTATACACATATACACACACACACACACACACACACACACACACACACACACACAATCCATACACACAAGTTCAGGTCACTGATAGGTCTTGTCTGGAAACTTTAATCTGAGGAGAGTAAACAGGTAGATGTCTTTAAGAATCACAAGTAGGATAGTTCATGAAAGCCAAGGTCACTACTAGGTTCTACATTTTAATTTTTCACAAAGTAAAATGTATGTTTCAAATTTAATTTTTATTTTTTTTTTACAAAATGACCTGGCAATATATTATGTGTGTTAAGCAATATTAGAAAATAGAATTGTGACTATATTCTCCACAAAATTCCAGGAACAAAATTAAAAATAGTTAATAACTAAGGAAAAGGCACAGGAAGTAGTTCTCTAGCTGCCAGGATTTCTCCTATGCATTCTGTGGAAATACATTGTACCTTGAGATCAAGTTAAGGCTGTGAACTTAACCTGCTATCCTACCGTGTACTCAGCCTGTTTAAGTTTAACCTGCCTTGAACAAGGAAACACCTTACTATGCCTTGCATGCCCCAATGCAATCAGTTTGTACAAGCTAAGCTAAATGCATTTTTTTAGTCTTAAGTTCACACTCTCACATGCTCTGACCCAGAATAATGCATATGTGTGTAATCATTTTCTGAGAGCATTCAATTGGTTAGAAGCCACCTTAAAACAAATATTTGCTATAAATATCATAAGCAGTCTGGATATAGCTTGATAACAACTGTTTGCAGTATTGAGTGCAATTCAAGGTCAGTAACTTATTTTCTTGTAAAATTCTGTTAAAGATGCTGTAAAGAATTCTTATTCCTTCTTCATGTTATGTTTCCTGAAGTATTCAATAAATACAGAGCAAAGCCCTTTGTTAGAGCATGCATGACAAACATTAGACACAGATACACACATGCATACACACAGAGACATCGGACACAGACACAGTTATAACTCACAGGCGATGACACCCACAATGGACAGATTATAGACAGGCCAGTAACTTCAAACCACAGGCAGGCTGAGGGCACAGATTATAAACAGGCCAGTAACTACAAACCACAAGCAGGCAGAGGGCACAGAAAGGCAAGTGGAAAACTCAAATTCAGATTCGCTCTTGATTAAACTAATCCAAGAGGATGTTACTTTGGGTTCATTTCCAGATGGGATATTGATGCATGTTGGTGGCCTCTGAGGTTATCATTAATGCATTAACTGACACACTTTCATTAAAGTAGGTAATGGTTTGTTTGTTTGTTTTTAATAACTACACTATAAAATATCTGTACATGAATGATGTGTAACGTTTTACTATTAACAGTCAAATTCAGAGATATAACCTAGAAGCCACAGGATGACTATAGCCTGAGCCTGCTCCCCTACAGATTTCCTACCTAGACTAGCTAAGCTGCCTTCCTTGTTCAGTTACATACAATAAACCACCTCCTCACACTGACTTTCAGGGTGGCTGTTGATGTCAGTGTCTCTATTACAGTGGACAGCCCAATCAATCTCAGCTTGTCTGTACATGTCTCTGTGTCTCTCTCCTTGTCACCCCAATGAGTTTTCCAGAACCAAGTTGTGTAGGTCTCAGAGAAGTGTGCAAAGAACAAGAGGGAGAGAAGGAAGAAGAGAGACATAGAGAGAGAGAGAGAGAGAGAGAGAGAGAGAGAGAGAGGTGTAGAAAATGGGCTAGGTAGAACCCAGAAAGAGACAGTTATGCTTGGACTTTGAAGTTATATTTTAATACTCTGATGGAGATTTTGCTGGCAGTATTTTCCTTGTGAACTGTCTGTCTAAATGGATTGTGCTCATCTCCCAAACTGTCAGGGTTCTTTAGGTTTTCAGAGTTCCACAAGTTTGGGGTTGACGTAGCAGGTCACTTTACAGTCACCATTGACCTGCCCAAATTAAAACAGTCCTGGACTTACAGCCAACTTGCCCAGATCTTTGTCGAGGCCTTCCTTTCCTCAGGTGTAGAAGGGGTCTGGGCAGTGGTCTTGGGCTTGAGTTTCATCTCTTGCAGAAGTACGCTAAAGCAAGACAAAGCAGCCAGCCTCCCACCCTAGGCTATGGAGCCCTTTGAGACCAGAGTCTGAGGTGGCATATGACCTCTTGGAAGGGGACTCCTTGGTAGTAGAGCACTGGCCACTACACAGCAGGCTAGGCAACACCTCAGGAAACAGCGCTGGCCCTTCCACTTGGTGGACAAGACCAACAGCAGCTGCTTGTAGCAGGGCTCTTCCAAGCAGCCCTGAGAGACACCTGTTTCAAGGGAAAGATCTTACTGGTTTTCAAGCTTTCCTAGTTTTTGAGCAGGACAAACCAATCACCCAGGCCAGAGGCCAAATGTTTTCTCTCCTCAGCTAGGTTCCAGAGATCAAAAAGAACTGACACTATACTGCAACATTTAAGAAACAAAAAAGGGGAAGTTGTGAGTAGAGGAAGCCTTGGTTGAATGTGTGAGCACATGGCCCACCTGATCCCAGTTTTCTGTTCATGGGTCTGTGTGCTTGTCTATTTTCATTCTCTCATCACCCAGTCAGGTTCCCAGGGTGGAGCCATGCAGGATGTGTGCTATACGACACATACTCTGAAAATATTCTAAAGCAGAACACCTTCACACGATTAAATAGTCACTTATTTACAATGTTCACCGCAAGCACCCAGCCTTAACTCCCTTCCTTACCTTTTCAACAGGGAGAAGGGTTTGCAAGAGTCGAACCGTGAACAGTGCGATGCTGATGAAGGCCATCCTTTGGTGTACTAGCAGGGCCTCTGCTTGCTCCAGGCTAAAGCTGGTTTTACGATAACATATGGTTTCTCCAAGGGACCCTAATACTTGGAGCAGTTTCTCTTTCTGAAAACATTCAAACAAGACAAAACAATCAATTTTGCATGTAAACATACAAATGTCATTGAGAACAAATAACATATTATTGTTAAAATACTATCATTAATAATTCAACACAAAAATTTATGCCACTCAACAATAATAACCAACAACTGATGATAATAAAAAGTACAAAGGAATGACAAATGCATTGACATTGTAAAGAAATGCTACCAGCTCTGAGAGTACAGAATAAAAAATCCTAACCATCGATAACAAAAACAATAAAATACAAAAGCTTAATGGACTATAAACTCCTCCCTGTTTCCACTGCCTAATTTTCCAAATTGGAGCACACATTCATATGGACCTTGCTTCAAATGTGTGTCTGAATATGTGCTGAGTACAATGGCAAATATAATGGGGTAGAGGAAGTAATTTAACAGATATAGCCTCAAATTGATCCAAATGTTATTAAATAATAAAGCAGAAGAAGCCAATTTTCTAAAAAAAAAAAAATGTCAAATTATGTCAACTTTCTTCTCAAGTAGTAATGTTGTTTCAAGAGGAAAATATTTTACCATTATAAATTTCCATGTAACTTACCAGTTAACCAGGACATTGCATCTTTTATATTGAAAGGTATAAATAACATATAAAGAAAATCATATAGCATAAATGAACTGACTTGCCAAGTCATGGCAATATAGACTAAAATATATTCTAGGTATATTTGACATGCTCTGACAGGACAGCTTCCATGGGACAGTACAGTAGGACAATGACAGAACACGCTTCAAGTCTTAACTCCCGGCACAGTATACATAAAAACTAAAAGGGAAAATCACCTGCAGGTTAAGGACACTGTATACTCACTGCAAATTGTTTGGGAATTTAGAAGCAATGAGACATGAAGACAAAAATAAAAGACTGCTTGCCAGTGAGCTACAATGCAGTGTCACAGAGATTGAAATGAAACAAAAATGAAGGACAATAGGAAGAGCTGAACATTATCTGAAACAAAGGCATAGGTCTAACCTCCTTGACCTAATTGCCATGTGTATAAGGAAAAACACAGACCTGATTTTATATGCAAAGCAGAATGAGGTACTCTGGAAAAACCTAATTTTGGCAAGTGCTTAGCAATAAATTTTCTGTTTTAACAAAAATAATTTTCTTTTATTTACTTCAAATGAATAAAAGTATTTAATTCTAGGGCAAGATTCATAACACTGTACTTAACAAAACTGAATTACAGAATGTTAGGCATGACTGAACTATTTAGAACTATCTTGAAATATGATTATATATACTTAAGTACTTAATTTCTAAATTAAAACAATACACAGTGTTGCTCCTTTAATGACTTAACAACGATATTCTATCTGTCATCTTAAATTTGGCAAAAGTAGGAACAAAAAGAAATTTCAAGTTTTTGCTTCTTCTAATATAACCCTGAAGAAAATAGCTTTTATCAAGAAGGTGTTTATTCTTAAGTAAATGTATAATTTCAAGTAATGATATTTGACCTAGCATTTCTTCTGGTATTTCTGGTACTTCTGGTACTTGTATAACAGATTTAACCTTTACAGGAAAAAAAAAAAAAATTCATTGAGTCATCAACCAAAAGTAAAAAGTGAATGACTAACTTTCACAGATAAATAAATGTTCTGGCCAAGAATCTTCAAGTTAATTTAAGAAGAAACTGATAATCCACTCCTCACATTTCTAAGTATAAAATCACTTGCTGAAAACCTTCAATGTGTGAAAAAAAAGAAACTTTTTACTATGAAGGAGTATAACTTTAAAGAAAAATTAAGATGAAGGGTTATTTTATCTGGGACTAGAGATGTAGGTCAATTGGTTACAAGATCATTCTGTATGCTGGAAGCTCTAAATTTAGTGCCTTGTCTAGGTATCTCATGCTTGTAATCCCAGCATTTGGGAAGTGGAGACAAGAAGATCAAAAATTCAGGACAATCTTTCACTACCCAACTAGACAGCAAGTAGGGAGGCCAGCCTAGGATATATGAGACTGTCTCAAAAGAAAAAAAAGGGGGGGAGGGGCTTGAAAACATATTATACCGATATCATTTATTTATCTTTTCATGTGTCATTTAAAATTACCATAGGTATTTGTATACATGGTTCTGTTATAGTTAGAAGGTTAATAGCCTCCAAGGTCTAAATGCTAAAGGTTTTGTCTCCTGGGTGAAGCAGGAGGTAGAACCCAGTAAAATATCTTTTAAGTCCCTGGAGCTCTTCATTTGAAGAGGACTGAAGGACTCTTCCCCTTTCTTTGTGCTTTCTGACCATGAGGTATGCAAATTAATACCTTATAAAGACCACCATTTCTATCACACACACCTGCCTAAAACCCAAAGCAACTATGTCTACTTAGCCTTAAGCTCCAAAACTATAAGTCTAAATAACCTTTTCCCTTGACAAGTTAATTATCTTAAGCATTCATTATAGCATCAGAAAGTTAATTAACACACAACTGTTTATTATGTAAATATCTGCGCTATATGTATTTTACTTGTGTTTTATGTTCTGACTTCTATTCCCAAGGATTACTAACAGCCTATACAAATCTTAACTAAATATAGACAGACATAAGCACAATAACAAAGAAAATTCAGTAACTACAAGTCATCACATGGGCTGGGGATACAGCTAGGTGAAAAGAACATGGCCACCATAAGCAAAGCCCTGGGTTTGATCCCCAACATTTACAAAACCCTAAACAATTTTTCTTAAACGCAATATATATTTTCTATGACTAATAAATTATTATAATACTTCCCTAACAGGATAAACACAAAGAAAAGGGAAATTAAGAGAACACACATTACTGACATTAACAAAAGAGACAATACCATTCTTTCAAGAAAAACGATTCTCAGATAATTGCAAAATAAAAGATAAAAATGACAAAGGAATTATCCTACACTGAAATGTCAAAAAAAAAAAAGTTATAGTTTGCAATTACATAAGGATACACTGAGGGCTGAGAATGAGTTTCAGTGGTAAAATTTTTGTGCAACAGGTCCAGGGTAGAATCTCTAGCACCAAAAACAACCAAAGTTTGGTAATTTATACATCTCCTAAATGGTATGCTATAATAGAGCTTTCCTGAAGCTACTGTGTATTTCTGAGATTATCTACCAAATGAAATACAGAGAGTGAAGAACAAATATCTGTCCTAGTTTGCTTCCTTTTGCTGTGGTAAATCACTGACCAAACCAACTTGGGGGAAGAGTGGGTTTATTTGGCTTACACTTCATATGACATCCCTCACCAGAAAGTACAGCCTACTGCCCCCCAAACACCATGAGTCTCACCACATCTATAGCAAAGAGGCTGCTATCATCCCAGACTTCGGGTGAAATTGCTTGTCCAATGAGCATCATGTCCTCTGCAAGCAGTTCCAGAACTCTTATGATCATTTCTCTGCTGCCTAGACACAGAAACAGGAGAAAGGAAAGAGAAAAGAAAGTCACTCCATTTTCAGATAAGCAGTTGGACACTCTAGCTAGGCATGCTCTCAAAGTCCTATTTCCCCATCTTTGATGTTTTTAAAACTGATGGCAAGATGAATGAGGATGTCACAATCTCACTACAAAAAAATCAAATGTGCTCATAAGTGGGAAAGTTATTTGAGAGTAGAAAAACCAAAATTACCGCGAAATAGATTTAAGCAATTTCAAACTCAGAGACTATCCATGTTACACATAATGTGCAACAAAACAAGCAGATTTAGAGAATGTATTCTAATCATTTCTATCTAGTACCTCAAGTTTGAAGCTTTGTCATAGATGAGTATTTTCACACATACGAGTCACATAGAAAGCTAATTCTATACCACAGTGACGAAAAGAATAAATGTCTACCTACACTGTATCGTATACTAAAGAAATAATAAAAAATACCATCCAATGCTAAGGATGTAGCTAGTTGGTAGAGTGCTTGTCTAGTTTGCTTAAGGCTCTGGGTTCCATTCCCATTATGGCCTACACCAGGAGTGATAAAGCACACCTCTGATCTCATTACTCAAGAGGTAAAGGCATGAAAATCACAAGTTCAAAGTCATCTTGAGCTATGTAGTAAGTTTAAGACCAGACTGAGACACCTGAAACTGTGCCTAAAAAACAAACAAAAAAACCACTCCTCACAAACCTTCCAAGAGATGCTGTGCTAACTAGACATGGTGGTACACACCTGTAATGCCAGCACGGGGTTACATAACCTGTTCTTGGCCTCACTACCAGACCATCTAAAAAGAACAAAACCATACTCCTTTAAAAGAAACCGTTAATCTCCTTTCTTTGAGGAGACTGGAACAAAAGCATTTCCAAAATTCTCAGTGAGGCAAATTTTCAAATAAGACTGTCCTATCCTTTATCTTAAAAGGTTAGCTCCTAATGAATTATTAGTTAAACAAACTCCTGAATCACAGATATCTACGTTTATTTTTTTCATTAACAGCTGGAGCAAGCTCTCTCTCTGCACCTCTTACAATACTGAACAATTTCAAATTATGCAATAATTTACTGCAAAAGGGCAAGGGAACACTTAGAAATTTTTATATGCAAGATATAGCTTTATAATTATCAATCTGACTTTTTACAGCAAATTAAAGAAAGGTTAAATGGAAAATCATTAAGTCTAAAACTGTTCTTCCCGCTATACCCAACAAATAAACAAAAACACTCGATGATGCCAAAAGTTCATCTCTCCCATCACAGAACACTGTCAGCATGGAAAAGTGTGTGCACTCACACTCCTGGAAGCCAAGGTCCCCACTGTGACAAAGAAGGGGACAAGATTTTCCAAGGCATAAATGCTTCCCAAATTCTATCTCCATCACCTCCAAGTAGGAAAATAACAACAACAAAAGAAAACCTTAAAATTTTAACTAGTAATATGGGAATTTTTTTGATAATTAAACTAACAAGATTTATCGTAACAGAATGGTGTCAGGAGTGGGATGAGCCCATGCCCCAAGGTTCCCAGAGAAAGAGGGAAACCTCCACCACAGCCTGCCCTGTCGGGCCGCTGACAGGCATTGGAACAGCTTCCATATGCTCGCGTCCTCCCGTCACTTCTGGGGTTTAGACTCGGCACTTCCAAGGTGATAAAGACAGACCCAGATAAAGAAAAACCTCTAAAGGCTTACACTGCATTTGAAAATACATGTAGGCTTGTGAGAGAAAAAATAACAGGAGGAAATAAAGTAGCCAGTTATGGTGGCCAATGCCAGTAGGATTTGCTGAAGGAAGCAGAGGCAGGCGGATTTCCAAAGAGAAACCCTGTCTCAGAAAAAAAAAGGAACAAAAGGAAGTAAAAGTAGAATAATAAGAAAGCCACCTAAAGATGAAAAATACATGGAGAATCTGGATACTAAATGCCATATTGTTGTCTGTAAATTGTTTGATTGCCGAGGAAAGACTTACTACTACTAAAATACATTTGATTATAAATGCTGCTAAATTAATCCAACTTATACATTTTAAAAATGCTTTGACTTCAAAATTTAAGTTTAAGGACAGGCTACTTAGAAATAAAGGTTTTGCTTGTATTTCCACAGAAAATCGAAAGCTGTTGATTCCTTCCAGACTAATATGGGTTGATCAAGCAAGACCCCCTGAAGCTGAGATGATACAGCCTTACAGACTACAAAAACAAGGACTTGGTCAGGTTTCTGTGTTTTATCATGATCCCCATGGTATATGAACATCGCCCCCAATCAGCAGGAAGCAGTTTAGAAGGAACGACGCCCAAATCCCCAAATACTGTTTATAAATGTTTGTTTTCAATTAAATGGGGTTAGTTATAAATGATAATAAACACAGTCAATCTCTTATTAAAAAAAGAAAAGGGGAATAGGAAAAAGGAATGAATACTTTGCATTGGTATAGATTTTCATTTATTGATACAA